TTCTGCATGATGAGCACAGTTACATCTCAGGCAGTGCATGCAGTGGGAGTTGCTCTTAGCTCCCCTGCTGTCACTTCAAATATTAGAACAAATTACTTCCCATAAAAAGTTAGAGTCAAACATTTCAGGTTTTTAAAATTAGCTAAAGAAGTAGTAAGTACCCTTGGTAGAATGCTGGCTGTCAGCTGTCCCAGTCCTTCCTGGCCAGGTGAGATGGGGAGAGGTCTCTTTGCTGGACAATTTGTAACTCCAGGGCATCAGGTGCTCTCAGCACAGAGATGTTCATGTGTGCTCAGGCCCTTTTGCTGTTCCTGCTCCTTTGTAGCTGGTGGCTGGGCTGCGAGCCAAAAAAGGGCAGGGCTTAATTTGTACATAATTTACCTTCCTTTTTGGGAAAATAATAGAATATTTTCTCCACATCAGACCCTCTTACTGTTACCTGGTAGAAGTATAAGACAGTAGGCGACAGAAATACACTATTGGTACCACCAGTCTGTAGATAAACTGGACTAGAGAAGAAACAAAACTCCAGTTTGGCAGTGGTACCCAGCACTTCCATCCTGACTCTTCTGTCTTCATCCCCAACCCAATTTTGTACTTGCAGAGAGGCTTAACTGTAGGCACAAGGGTTGTTCTCTGGCTTCCAAGATGAATGAAGGCAGTGAATTAACTCAGAGACAACACAACATGGAAAGGTGACTTACTGTTAAATAATACATTTTAAATTAATGATAATTAATTAAATGATTAACAATTATAGACGTTGATCCTAAGATTTTAAAGCCCTTTTAAAACAAATATCCTTTTACAAATTGAACAATGAGAAATCAAAGCCAACTTTTTCAAAAGGGTGTGTCTAAAATTAAGTCTTGAAGCAGTAGTTAAGATGCTAAAGAAACACTCCCACATTTAAATATAAATGACTACAATTTTCAATGTTTGCATGTTAGAAATATCTCAAGTTCACAGGTGGCCTTGCAATTTAAATGTAATTTAATGTTCATGTGCTGACAAGAACTCAAACTGACACCTAGGCAAGTATATTTTAGCATAACATATATGTTCTTAAGTCCCTGTAGTTGGCATTAGAACCAGAACCTTTTTGAGCCTGTGACACCAATCTGCACTTCTTGGGTTGCTGGATGAGGGACAAATCCAGCTCAGAGTAAAACCCCAAAACCACCAAATTCCCTGGTTTGAGCTGTCCACAGCAGTGAGAGCTTTTACCATTTAATGCAAGAAATAAAGTGCCCATTCTACCCCTGAACTACTCCAGAACTCCTCTACAAGTCAGAGCAGCTGGTCAGCTTATTCATAGATATCAACCCCTCATTTCTTGGTGGAATTCAACAAAGAGTATTTTAACTTGGCTTTGGTTCCACCAGAAGGGGACACCTCAGAGGAGCTTTCAGAAGTGCTATTTTGTATTCTCTTGACTTCAGTGAAGAGGGGTGACCACATTTTATTTAATGCATCATTCTAAGTATTTTTGAAAGAAACAGAAGCTAAAGTTACAAGGAGAAAAGCTGCTGCATTAAGATTTGAGCTTGCTTTTTGAATCACAACTCTAGACTGCCTTTTTCTACTTTTTCTCCTATAACCAGTCCCAGTTCCTGCAGGCACACAGAAAAAAAAACATGCAGTACTTGCAGGAGATGACTGTATAAAACACAACAGGAAGGTGTCAGAGAGTTTGTCTTACACAAGTTCATTTCAAATTACATGCTGATAGATGCAGGTCTGAATTGAGTAAGAAGGACTTGGCCTAAAACAGACAGGAGAGTGTCTGTCTCCAGCCTACAAAGTCTTGTCCCGGAGCTGGTTCTGTGGGCAGTGCTGGGTCACAGAGAGGTACCAGACAGATGTGTGAGACCAGGGCTTTGTCCCTTCCACTCAGCAGGTCCCATTAACTCCATAGCTCTGCATTTCCAGGCCACAGAACAGGAGCAATGCTCCAGCTCTGAGGTAACAGGAACCTGAAGGAGGGTTTTTAATTGTGTGGAAGATACTGTGCAGAAAAGAGCCTTTAACAGAGACGTACCAAAGCGTGCAAAGCTCGGCAGAGGTGTGAGCTGAGGTGACAGCTGGATGTTTGACATGAGTCACAGGCAGGATGGGGTGTTCTGCAGTGCCCAAGGGCAGGGGAATAGCAGAAAAGCTTCAGAAACTAAGCTCTCTTAAAGCTACTCAAGGATAGGATTTTGCTGAAATAACTGCAGCATAAAAATATCCTCTTTTCATTTGACTTATTAAAAATTCTATATCTAAGCCCTAAATTAGCAGAGTTGTTCAAACTCGTCATGTGTTTGAACACCTCCTTGTGCACTTGTTCACATCCAGATGCCCCATCACATGTACTGACACAATCTGTGAACTCAGAGTGGTGAGACTTGTTTGGACAGTGCACCACATCACTGATCCCCTCTGCAACCCCAGAGAAGTCTGGACAGATCTGTTGAGTACTTCTGACTAAATGTACTAATCCCTTTGTGACTACAAAACCAATCACTCTCATAGCAAGGACTGAGTCTAAACCAACAGAGAGTTGAGAGTAGGGAAGTGTCAATGGTGAGGGAATCACACTTTCATTGAGAGAAGATGAAACATTTAAATGTTAAAAAGCATTTAAATCAGAAGGTCTTGCAATGTTAATGGAAAAAAGGGAAAAGAATGAAACTCTCCTCTAATTATGTCTTGCTGTGCTTAAAAGTTTTGGTCAAAAAGATAAATCATGGTATCTGAATTAAAGGAAATCTAATATTTATTTTTCATATAACCCAATGCTAAACAGTGGTACCTGTCAAATATTTCTAAGGCATGACATCATCCTTAAAAAAGGTTTCCCAATTAATGCAATAACAGATGTAATTTAATACCCAAAGTATTATGATAATGCAACATTCTTCACATTCCTTGCTAAGTTAGAAGGGTAAGACACAGAGGCAAAGCAACTTACCCATGTCATGCTCTAAGTCCAGACCAGAAGGGAAAAGAAGATGCAGATCCTTATTCCAAGCTGCAAAGCTGAGAGATCAGGTTCTTCTTCTTAAATCCCTCCATTCTTCATTAACATACATAAACAGTCTCTATTCCTTCCTTTTTCCTGTTTCTTTGTGTATTTGAGTTACAATTCTGCATATTTCACTATTTCCTCATGGAAGGAATAAAGCACACATAAATAGAGCCTTGGAATGTGTCATATAAAATGCTTTTCCCGTGACTTTGTTCTCATTTCCTTTGCATTTGTGGCTGCTTTGCATGTTACACAGATTGATTTACAGGTCAAATGAAATGATAACTGTGAGCCTGCATTGCCAAGTCAGGATGGAATTACAGGAAGAAACAAAACAACTTCTCACAGCAGCAGTGAACATCCCTTTATCAGCTCTTAGGTCTTGTTAAAGAAAGGCAACAGTTTATGCAATATTTGAAGGGAAAGAATACAAATGCATCATAAATAAAAATACTGCATTAAATTGTACTGAATAAAGGCAGGTTTCTATATAATTAGCAGGGATCACAGCTTGGCTTCTTACACACAGGAATCACAGAGAAAACAAGCCACAGGAATGAAGTATATAGATGCAGGTTTTAAAAGGACTATAAGACCAATTCCAACAGGTTTCCTCTTAATTCAAAGGTTTTCTAATGGTTGTTGCACTAGAGAGAAGTACAGATCAACATTACTATTACATGGTTTACTTTCATCCCAAAAACCACTGGAGGAGTTCTGAGGACATGGGAGGTGGCTTAGGATGGACAGAAGAGGAGGATGTTTTGCACTGTGCCCACTGGGTATAGTTTAAAACCTTGGCATAACTTCTACCAGGTGTCATTTGCAAAATTCCATTCACCTCTATTGTTGTTATTAACCCAGAAATCATAACAAAAGCTGCAGAACCTTCCAAGTAGGAAATAAAAATGGAGAAACCCTCTAGAAGAGATTGTTATTTGCTAGTTGTTTAGAAAGAACCTTAGTACCACAGTAAATGTGGCCATGACGACAGAGGCAGCCCACAGGATGTAAATTTGTGGCTTACAAGGTCAGCCTAAACTACCTATCGAATTCTGGGTAGAATTTAAGATTCTAACTGATGAAGTCTCACATGATATGAGTGAGAGATTACCAGTGTCCTCATACAGTAGTTCCACCAATGCATTCAGTATAGTTACCTAAACCCTAGATTATCATTATTGTAACAGAGACAGGGAAGGAATAAGGTGCTTTCTGATGCTGGCAGGTTTCTGGAATTGTTTTCCCTTCTTCCTCTCTCTGTCTTATTTATTTATTTAAACTAATCCATAAGCAAACATCTCATATGCATCTGTTTGAGATGGTTTCTCAGAGGACTGAGGTTCAATGTAATGAAAAGTATTCTATATACACCTGACTGAGATGCTTTAAAACAATTAACGAAAATTCCTGTGACTTAGTTCTGTTAACACATTTGGGTGCCTAAAGTCTTGGAACTTTGTGGTTACAGATATGTGCTCACAGTAGGCAATATACTAATATAGCACAGAGCAATTCTTCCTGAACAGAATTCCAAAGGACACAACACTCACTGCCATTTCCTTCCTTTGGAGCAGAATCAATTTCTGGGGTTGACTCAAATTCAGGCATATTTAGATGGAGGAATTTGTTACTATGCCAAGCTGTCCCACCCTTCTTCTGGAAGTTTCTGTCCCCTGAAGCACAACAAAGGAGTTTCTGAACTGCCAGTCCATACGAAGGTTTTATGAGCATGTGCACCAGTTCAATGTAGCACAGGAGCTGGAAACTGTAAATTATGGCAGTAGATGAGCTGTTCCACATGGAAGTTACCCACTCCTGCTGTGAGAACAGCACTCCTCTCATAGGGGAAGCACACATACTTTGAGGTGGCAACTGGTTTAGCCATTTGTCTTTAATTCACTGCACACAAATCAATATAATAAGTGAGTCACAGCAATGACATGACTTACAAACAAGCTGGCAGAAAAATATGCATCTTGGTCAATTATAAAACTCCTCTTTTATTATGTCTTGAATACAGTGAATTGCATTCCAGGAAGCATAAAGCAGGAAAGCAAGTGACATAAACCTGACAGACCGACACTGGAGTCACTCACAGAGCACTCCATTACTCAGATTGTCCCAAATGAACCATCTCCTTAAAATGTGTTCCTGGCTCGGTAGCCCTCAGATTGATGGAAGCAGGTAGGATGGGAGTTTCCAGGTGGGTAATAAGAAGGAGACAGGATCTGTATTTTAAGGAAGCAGCTGCTGTGAGTGGGTAGCAGGGCTGACCAGCCTCCAAGACAACAAGGCTTCGGCTGCACAGCCTGAACACAGGCACCCTGGATGGGGTGTAATGGCTAAATACTGACTTTTATAGCTTCTGGGGTTACACAGATTCTAACCAAAGAGAAGATTCCTCAGTTCCTAACACCTACTTTAAGTGTGAGAGCTCAAGAGAATCAGAGACACGTGCTCTGCTCTGCCCACAGAAACAACCAGTCCAAGCCAAAACAAACAGCTGAGTGATGAGTACGAGTGTAGGCTGCCACAACTCAGGATTACACAGATCCATTGGCAATCAGCCCATGTAAATGGAATTGTTTTGAATGAGTAAAATATCTGAACACCAAGTATTACACAGGGGGAAAAAAGGCTATAAAATGAGAGGTTTGACAGTTGTAATTTAACAGAACCCACTGAAATTGGACATGTGCATGACACTCTTCCTTCACACAGAGCCTCTGAGATCATTTACCACACCTGCACAAGCATATTTCCTTTTAAGCTCTTTGAAAGGACCTTTGTAAGAATATCAGAATCTATGCTGCAGTACTGTGACATTTCCTCCAAGGAACATATAAGAAACCCTTCCTGGCAATACAGAACACTCATCCTTCCTACCTGGATTTACTGTTTTAACGTTTCTTAGTACAAATTCACTTATTTTATCAGTGATTGTCATCTAATATTTCTATACTCCAAACAGAAACGTAACTAATCCTATTAATTTACAACTAACATTTTCATATCAAAGCATCTCAGTAGTTCCACATATACACTACCAAAATCCCAGGAAGTACAGCATAGCACATCTGAATTTTGCAGTCTGAATCCATTTTTATTATATTACATATATTAAACACTTGAGATAAATTTATAATCCTCTTAAAGGCAACAATAAACACCTACAAAATACTAGTGAGCTGTCATTACCGAGCCTTGCAGTAAAAAAAAGTGTATTTCATAAATCAGCTGGTACTGGCAAACATACTTTAAATCTTTCCAGACAGGAAACACATAAGAACTTAACAGAATTGCTTAGAAGACTAGCAGTGTCTGGTTACACAAACATAACCAAGCTGTATCAGCAACTTGTTTGCATGTCTGATCATTTCTGAATCATTACCTCTAAATATTTCTGTACTGGTAACTTAAAAAGCAAAGGGTAGAAATAATTATTAGCAAACTTCTCTTGACAAAAACATGAATTCCAAGCTTGTTTTCTGCACTAAAGTTATTGCTTGGACTTTCTATGCAAAACTGGTATAGAGAATTCTCTTCCTAATATCACAGCCATCCATCCCAACTGTTTGGCATAATGAGTACCAGGAAGGAAATCTCAAACCAACTTCCAAAAAAAGACAATTTGGACATACCAACAACTAATTGAAGAAATTATTAATATGATGCAGTAGAATAGAAACAAAAGTTGTAACCCTGTATAACTCCTAATTATATTAGAAATACATACACTTTTAAAATTTGTATCAGCTATATTGAAAACTATCCTCTACTTATGCTGAAACTTTGGAGAGTTCAGGGCTTGATTTACTTTGAGTCCTGCAAAGTCTGCAAGTGGAGTCAATGCAGCATTTATCACCTGCAACTGCTCTGGCCAGCACTCGTGACAACAAAGAATTCATCTTCTCTCTTTCTGCTGGAAGCTTTGAGCACACTCTGAAAAGAAGCAGGTTAGTGGTCTGACTCCAAACCTCTTCAGCATCTTTTCTTCATCTAAAATTTAATCCTACAAGTGAAGCACATGAATAGTTTTAAAAACTCAAAATATATAAACTGCACAGGCTCACCATCACCCCTGACAAAATGGCAACGGAAAACCAACACAAATTAAATTGAAAGTTTCCTTACATGTTTAATGGTGCTCCAGGGCTATGTACTTTCTGAAGTACTTTAACAGGAATGTATTCCTATATGCTTTACAAGCAATACAGTTTTCCTTGGAAGGCTGAAAGACTGAGATGGTTGTGGAACACTAGGTTTATCTCTGCATGCCTGTAACAACTTCCTTGCTACTACAGGATGGTTATACATTCATTTCCTCTCCAAGCATTTCTCTTGAGTGATCAGCCCTTAAATGCTGAATTCTGCACATACCTGGCCAGGCTCCAGGTTCCACTCTCCATGAACAAGCATTCTTAGCCAGTGGGGCTGACTGGATTTTTTTTTTTCTCCTCTTTGAATGACCGGGCAATGTTTTTAAAAGGAAATACAAACTACAGCCACAGAAACAAGGATTTAAAAACCAGTCTCACTATGTCTGCATTACCCATTTCCCTGACGAATATCTTGGCAGACCAAAGTTCTGTAGTGCAACTCTCTGCAGTTGCCTGTGTGTCCACAGCTCTCCCTCAAACAGCTCTGTGGGAAATGCTTCTGTCCTGTTTAACTCTGAGAAAGTACTTCCACCCAGCCATTTCTCTTTTCCTGTGATACTCTGCCAGTTTAAAAGCAGCAGGTTGGAGGTTGGCTCTGGGAGAGGTTTAGTTTGCCCAGCTGCTTCTCCCATCACTCTGTAACAACAGTGCCATGTTTGCTGAGGTTCTTTACTATTAGTGGGGTCTTTTTTCAGTCAGCCTTGTTCATTTAACACATAAATCATGCAGCACATGCAGCAATTGTTATTACAGCCATTACATCTGGTTCTAACCCTCTAATGTGCTGAACTGCTCACTCTTAGAATGAGCTGGACCACTGATAACTACAAACACACACCTGCCTTACTCCTTTCACCCCAAACACTGTCCCCTTTGAACTGTTCTGTGGTTATATTGGGTTATTCTGGGGACCAGCTCAGCTAAGAACTAAAATCATTACAAATTATTTCAACTTTGGAAAAACTCCCTGCTGAAAATGAATACATTTAACATTAGGCTTATGAAATATTAGCCTTCTACTGAAACACATGAACTGTATAAACTATGATCTATTTACCTGAGGACTTCTTTGAAAGCTGGAATTGTCCTTTTGGTTTATATTCCGTTTTTCAAGTAATAATCTGTTTGAAAGAAAAACAAATCCCCAAGAATTCCAGCAGTTTTTCACAGAGGCACATAGTACCTTTGTGCCTTTGTTCAGCTGTGTCCCTGGATGACAAAACCTTTTGTATGAAGAGGTATAATGCATTTTAAAGCTCTTTGCATGTACTTTTGCCCACTGTTACCATTGAAATAGTGCTTTCTGGTTCTGGATTGGCAGTTAGGAAGGATAACAATGAAGAAACATAAGGATCAATACAATTTAATTGTCTTTCACTCCAATCCTATTTTTTATATAGCAGACACTGGGAGTCAGATACTCTTGTCTTCCTTCCATGAAATAAAAAATACAAAGACTCTTGATAAATACTCACCTCCAAGATTTTGCCTGCTTTAAAAAACTTCTAGCTTTTGCTACTTCTTGAATAAGTTTCTTTAAATCATCTCCTTCAAAGTAAGGGAAAGCTGGATCCTGAAAACATAGTTAAAATATTCTACTTTAACTTGCAACAATTCATTATTTTCTGTTTCTACCAAATCAGTTAACTGAGCCTAAGTTCTACATTTCCTTACTTGCAGAGAAGGTCTTGGTCTTACAAGGGGAGAACAGAGCAATTTTAGATTGAACTTGGTTCTGTTCACTAACATTTTTCTGCTGTGGGAATCCCTGAGGTCTCATGCTGGAGAATTAATGTGCCAAACACTCTATAAGGATTTTTCAATTACTTAAATGAAATACAAGATGGTAAGCATAAGAAAGCACAGTAAAAGCTAAAGTTAGCTTAAAATCCACAGTGGTCCAAGATATATTTTTTACTTCTCTTTCAAAACCTATATTGCATTGTATACTCCTTTCCTGGGTTTGGGCACCAGACCAAGGCAGTTAGAAGAAAGGTTAAAAGACAAATACTAAGATTCCTCCTTTTGGTTTCAATGTGAAGTATCTTAGGAGTCTTGTGTTATTTTTTCTCTCTCTCTCTTTTTTTTTTTTTTTTTTTAAATGCAGTTTGACTTCTGGTGAAGAACTAAGTTGAAATGAAACAACCCAAACCAATCCATTTAGCATACATCTTCATCTTCAAGTCCCTCTGTCAATATTCTGTGTGCTGCTAATTGTCCATCTTCATCTCCAAAGCAGCAATGGTAGCGCCCTCCTGTCTGGGAAGCAAGTTTCTTCAGAAATTCATTAGCTCCTCTGTTAACAACAAAGTAGAAAGTTGCTTATGAAAATTGATTTCTCTGAAAGCAACAGCAATAGAAAAAGAATTTCTAAGAACTCCTCAAAAAATATTACATCTAAAAATAGTTGGGAGGACATGATTATAAACTTCTGTATGAAACGTAAGTCATGTGGCAAATACCCGTGTCAGAACAACCTTCCCTGTTCCCATCTTGGTAACAGAGATTTCTGACAATAAATAAACTAGTAATTTGGAAAGTTTTTTTGTTGTTCTTGCAAAGTATCATATACCTGTCTGCCCAGCTAAAAGAAATGGTGTGGATTTTAATATCTTGGTCCTTTCTCAATCGTTCAATTTCTTCCAAAATCAGACTGCAACTGGTGTCTGGTTTTCCATCAGTCAATAGATACAGGGCCTCTACACCTTGGAAACTGAGAGCCTTCTGAAAAGCAAAACATAAGCTTAAATAATTAGTACATTTATATGAAAAGTTATATTTAAGAAGAAAAACATAATTCCAATGATTTAAGATAGTTTTATTTTTACCACATCATTAATCGACTTACTTTTGTCTTTTCCTTTTCACTAATCATGAAAGAGACCAAGGATATACATTTGAAAAATAAAGTAGGTAATTTGTAGCAAAAGACAACATATTTATAAGCAGGAAGTCATTAAAAATTGACTCATTGAAATAAGAAAATTAATTGGTTTTGGAGAACTGCTGACAAAAGATTTTTTACATCACATTTCATAGGAGTTAAAGATGTTTAATGTCTGAAAATCAGGCTCATTAGGATTTGACCTTTCCATATTATGAAAAACTGCTACAGTCATTGACTCAGTGGACATTTTTGTATTGCAGACACACCTCAGAGTTCTACTGGACTTGATTCATGATGAATTCCATAAAATTTATATAGAGACTGTGCAAGGGTGTCTGGAAGAAGAACCATTCATTTAAGGCAACACTTCTTTTTTGATTCAAATTTTAAATCTTGTGGAATTGCGAGTTCCTTCAGCCTCTGTTTTAAATTATTAGTACTACTTAATTTCTACACTGAACATTTTTATAGGAGAAAAGTTTCTTCACCTGCTACTGAAGTTCAAGAATTGCACTCAAAGCCTATGAAATTCCAACAAACTGCTTCTTTAAAAACCCTGTTTGGCTCAGAGCAACATACCACAGCCACAGATGTACATAAACATAATTTTGAGCAACTGGCTATTTTCTCTCTCCAGTATTCTTTGAACACAAATATTGATGCAACTATTGACAGTTGACATTTTTTTTAAAACTCAGTGCGAGTAATTAATTCTGGTATCAAAGAGCCCTGGGGCCAGAAACAGCAGCTTGGTTTCAATGCTTTGCATATAAAAATGTTGTATGCTTTGACCTAATCATTTCCCTAAAATGTTACCAGTCAGGGGGAAGTGTTTTATCACCACAAGACACAACGTCTTCTCCAATACGTGGCAGCCAATTTACTAACCTGTAAAGCTGTGAGGATGCACGTGTTACCATGGGCATGGAATTTGGAAACCCACTGCACAGCATCATGACATGATTCATCAGTTGCCTCTACAAGACACTCTTTCCAACTCTCTGTATTTTCTGCAAATCTCAGCAGGTTAAACCTGAGGAGAAAGATGACCCACAACATTTAACCCTCACCAACACGATGAGTCACTTTGGATAAGGCAGTTTTGGAGTAAATAAATAAATTAATTAAAAAAGCCACAAACGCAAACCCAATAGAAAAAAAACAAACCCCAACCAAATCCCCCACCCCAGAACCTAGTGTTGGATTAAATCTTCAGCTTTGGAGGAGTCACAAAGCATCTCTCACTCTGCATGAACAGAAAACCTATGGGAATGCTGAGCCCAGAAGAGTGAACAGCATCAGCCTACAACATAGGCTCAGATGTTAGAGAGCTCAGAACTAAAAGCTGGTTAAAAAGAACAGAAAAAGCAGTTATGTCACATGCATATTATAGTCTAACATTTAACAATTACTTGGATTGTGTTTCAGCACTGTATTGCTTGTAATTAACAAGCACTTATTACATAATAGGTAGTGCAGATTTCAATCTTTATCAGTAACTCACCATACCTGACCTCATTTCTTCTCAGCTGTTCCCAGATAAGGGAGGTGAGTTCTTTTCTGACATGTGGCAAATATGGGCCAGTGGAACCAGATGTGTCAATCAAAACACAGACATTTGCTTCTAAAATGGTACCAAACAACCTTCGGCTTCCTGGGCCAGAACAGGAAAACTAATTAAGGGTCATTACACAGGTGTATTTTATTGAGCATATTGTAAATCTTCATTTTAGGGGTTATTCTGGGCACATTTCTACATCATTAATCTATGCAGTAACTAGGTAGTTAAAAGATTAATAATAGAAAAGTTTTCTGCCATTTCAAATCTAGCACTATCAAGCATTAATTATTAGCCAACTGTAGCAACTTGCATTAAATAATTTGTAGCTCCTACTTCACAATCCAGCAAAAAATTAAACAAAGATCTTTATGAGCAACACAGAGATCAAAATGCTTTTCACCAGCAGTGATGCTGAACTTCTAAACAAGGCACATTCTTAGCAAAAGAAACAAAAAAGCTAATTTAAAAGCTTGTATATGTTACTGTATATATTTTGTTGATAGAAAGTTTCTAGTTCTGTATTCAGGAACACAACATCCAAAAAGTAAAAAATTACATCACAGCTCCAATTATTTCACAGCAAACTAAATCTTTATCAGCTACACAGATGGAACATTCCATTGTATTCTTGTATCCATAAAAACGAGTTTTAAAATTTCCATGAAACGCAAAACAGATAAACCTTTGTTCATATTTGAGGTTTGGATTTGTTTCTATTAGAAACAGCAGAGCAGAAGACTTTGTGTATATTTAAGTTGTGCTTTCCACAGCAATACCTGAGAGCAGCCACTGTACCCTCTGGAGGTAGCGCTGCAGCACTCGCTCCAGCTGTTCTGTGTAGATTTCCAGCTCTTTAAGTTGAAACTGCAGATGTTTCACAACCCCCTGGAAAAATGCAGTTTGTACAGGAACATCTTACTTCAGGAAATCTGAGCTCAGCTGCTATGTATGCCATGTTGGCATTAGAAAACAGGGAGATCCATTTTTTTTTTTTGTCTTTACCTCCAGGAAATAGGGCAAGAAAACAATTCTGTGACTCTTTTGCTGGTAAGTGGTTTACCCAAATTAGGGAAGCTTGGTTCTCATCTCAGCCAGCTGTGCTGGGCAACACAATTATATAATTGACTGGACAGGTGCAGCTCTTGCATTATTTCTGAGAGTTTATAGATGTGACAGAGCAATAATATCCTTCCTGTGCTTCTCTCCAGTCACTACACAAACTGAAAAATTAAGATCTAACATTTTCCCAGTTTTAACTTACACATGATTTTGAAAAGATTTACTTAAAATTTTAAAATTATTTTTCATACTGTATGAGCAGAAGAGATACACCCTAAAGATCCCATGGACTTCAAACATCCTAAATGTTTTTTTTGTGGTGAATAAAAGACCTTCTCTGGCTTTCTATTACAAGTATGATTTAGAAAGAAGAACAGAGATGAGTGGAGGGAACATCACACCAGCAAGCCACAAACACTGATCAACATGCACTGTCTAAAACAAATACAAAGGCTTTCAATGAAGTAGATAGATGACATCTGAAAAAACTTACATTGATTTCTGCACTAGGGAAGATAGAACAGTATTTTGCTGATACTTTCTTGTGCAGAGACTCCACAGTTTTGTTTTGGTGGGTGCAGCCTGGACCAAACATCAGCCTGGGCAATTCCAATTCAAGCTTTTTTATACTGTACTTGGTCAGCCACTTGTAAGACAAACCAATGGAACAATTGCTTGTTGGAAAATATAGTTTAATTTTAAGTAATAATACATTGTACAAAATCACAGTCAACACGTTCTCATTAATTCAGATGGATAGTTCCAAAATGGCAATTTATTAGTAAGGAGAAAATTACCTCTTTGCTTGAACAGATTTCCTCTTCTTTTGGCAATGTAACAGGGGGAACAGACTTTCTTATGCACATAGTCTTTGGATATTTCTGGTTTACTGTACCTGTTTAAGAAAATGAACAAGCAATATTGAGAGCTCTAGGTTAAAATATAGCCCTTCTGAATCACATATGACCATTGATTAACAAAGCCCAACCAGATAAAACCCCCAATAAACCAAACCCCCAAACCCACAGACTAACATTTCATACACAATTCCATGTTTGAAAAAATCGTACAGTTTCTATATATCAAAGTACCTAAAAAAAAATCACTTATTTTTAAAAACTGTCACCTTCAAAAAATTCCAACCCAAATTTTCTATAATGATCTAAAGCACGATGACAGCATTTTAACTTAGAGCACCTTTGACCAGAAGATGCCAAAGGACTTTACAGAAAATAAAAAGGAAAAAAAAAAGAAAGAACCACCCACCTCCACTCAAACCTAAAAATCTTTCCCCCTGTTTGATAAACTCACTTCCACTCACTGTTTAAAGCACATTGGTTATCAGTGACTTAACAACCTGACAGTTTTATAATCAAAATGCTGATAAGAAAAGGGGCTTCACCCATCCTATCCTGGTAAGACATACCCACATTTCTTCCTTTATCAGTGTAAAATACAGATAGAGAAAGCTCCGGCTGCTTCCTTGATTTATCCTTTCTTTTATTCTCAGTCTGAGGCCATTCTTTTATTCTTTGTGCTATAAATAAATAAGAAATAAAAAAAAAATTAACTAACTTCAGCTACATAAAACTCTTAAATGCAACCCTGTTCTTCACTTCAGATATTCCTATTACCACAATCATAAATACTTCATTTTCTTAGCTACTGGTTAAGAAAAATCCTATTACAGAACTACTTATGTGGCTTTCATAGATATGGAACTAAAACTTGTACAAATGTATAAATTACCATTGGGAAGAATGTCACAGGAGTTAATTTGAAAATATTAGGACTTTGAATAAGCATAATATTTATTGGAAAAACCAATTAACTTTGTACAGAGCAAATATGAATCCAGATTTGTAAACACTGCTACATACCGACATTCTAATTTCAATAAATAAGTAGATTTGAAGACTCAAATTTGATGTAAAAAAAAAGAAAAAAATTTGCAAATTAAGTTTGCAAAGATGCAAATTAAAAAACACAGGAAAACTACAAAAAAATGGAGGAGAAATGAATTGGACTTTAAGGGACCAAGAGTAACTGGAATCAATTGAGTTTTTCATATACCAGGAACAGTTGGAAGAGTCAGTACTTCAGACAACCTGACATTTGTGTTGTAATCTTCCTTCATTACCAGATCATAAATAAATCAAGTGAAACAGCATATTAATGACAATAGGATCTAACAGTATGAGTGGAAATGGATATATTGAACTAATAACATAATAAACCTCTGAATTGCTGAGCCTTCTGGTTTCAAGTGTGGACAAAGCTGGGTTCTACTTTCCACCCCCCACACCAGACATTTCCTGATACAGGAAGGGTATTCAATCATATGAGCTGAAAATCACTACACAAAACAACCACAATGTTTTCTATCAGTCTGATTAAAGATTAAAACTTCAGGTGTTTCTAAAAGCTTAAATAAAATATCTAAATACTGTCTTTTAAGCAAAACCCCAAAGAAACTGAAGAGAAGAAGCCCCTAATCCATCCAGACCTGGTGGAATTTCTGCTTTGGCACTAGGAGGACGCCATGCCAGGACTCTTACAGGAGTATTTCTCCCTGCACCATGGTTGTCTTTAACATCCTATAAGCACATTAAAAAAATAGTTGTAAAAAATGTTTCAGTTGGATCATAACTGCATTATTCAAAACTGGAACTACCCTTCACTATTCTCTAGTTCCTGCTTTACTCCGGCTTTTCTGACAAGTCAGCAGACTGCCATGACAATGTGTTAATTTGTAGTTTCTTGCTGGGTGAAGTAACTTTTAATTGCTCTGTTTTTATTATCTTGTTGACATCATCTGCTGCCATAAAACTGGAGACCAACATCTACAGGCAGAGGAGCTGGGACCACTTTTGCCACTGGAAGGAGCAGTCTAGTATGGTGAGGGCATTGTTTTATAGAATACAGTGTAGACTGTCTTCTTCAGCATTTTACTGAATATTGGAAATCTAGTGCTGACCCCAGTAATTCCTCCTTTAGGTGTATGGCCCATCCCTGCAGGGGCTGAGCCCTCTGCTAAACAACACAGCACTTGTGTAACCCTCCTGTAGGATAAGACTTTTGCTGTGACACTGAGCCATCAAGTGACATCTAATTAAACATACAGCACTACTATAAATATCCCCAAACATCTACAGACAACCCTGTACCAGTTTTCTACAATTTTAATCCCTGCAAAACTATGCTGTGTAGTCACCTCTGAGTAATTACTTTTTCCCTGCATTTGTGAAGAGGTGTTGAGAATATGCCACTTTTGCTAAAACAGCCTGGAAGGCCTGTGTGAGCTCACCTACGAGGTCTTTGCAACATTCTCACACCTACATTTCCATTCCCTGCATTCCCACACCTACAATGCTGTTCCCATGAGAGCTGAAAGTTCCAGGTGAGAGGTTAAATACATCCTCTGCAACTGAAAGCTCTGTATCTATTCATTTATACACCAAAATGGTAAACACTGGCACTGTCCCTTTCTGTTGCAGATTTGTACACCCACTCAAACCAAATGTGTGCACAGCCAAAAACAACACAGAAAACATAAGCAAAATCCCAAAGGACTCAGCAGTGTAACTCCACGGAAATAAGCACAGTGGGCAGGAAGCAAATCCTGAATCCTGCTCTTGTTTTATGTTGGATGTGCTACTGAGCTGCAGCTCATCTGTAAATGAGCAGAACACCATAAAATTCAGTACCTTCTAGAAGGACTTGCAAAACAGATGTAATTTGGTAAAGCACATTTCTGCTTTGCCCATATTTTCATTAACCAGTAAGCTTTTAATATCAGAGCAGGGATTATTTAGACACCTTTACTCTGTGATTCCATTACAATTAACTACTTAGCAGGAGTCAGTAAGATGTAATTTTTGGTACAGGTAGCATTTTGAATGCAAATGGAAATTCAGAGTACTATCACAGTGCTGTTTTAATTCCCTCAAATATTCAGCTGAGCACTTCTGTCACAAAGAGCTATTTTTGTGAATATCTGGGAAGGATCTCTAATTAAACCCCAGCACATTAACAATGGGACCATTTCAAACCATTCTAGCCGGGCTTGGAGCTGTGGGTTTAGGAGATGGCAACTTCTGTGGCCTTCTTTTCTCATTCTTTGTAAGTGCATTTGAATCTCCTTCTGGTGCAAATGGATTAACAGACTGATTTACTGAACGTTGCTTCAAGGATTCCACCAGGAATGCACACTGAAATGGAAGTTCACTTTGTTTAGGAATTCACATACGTGAAATGTAAGTATATGAAATTTCAAAGACAGGTATTTTATATTTATTACTGTATTAATAAATTAAATTCATATTGAATTGATCAATCTGATAATGCTTAACACTCTTAACTGAATAGTTAACACTCCTTTGTGTTGTGCTTGCTCAAACACACTGGATGGAAATCCTTCCTGCTCTGAGCAAACATTCCAAAAGAAAAGGCAACAGTATGCATACCAAGGCTAGAACAAATTGGAAGATGGTGAACCAAGTATATGCATCTGTTAAATGATACTAAAATATTTTAAGATGTCATTGAATATCCACTGACTCTTCTTTAACAAGACCAAAAACCTTTGTGACTCAGACTTGCATCCAACAAAGTGCTCAGCCCTCTGGACATGTATCTTACTGCATAACTCTTCCTAATCACACTTTTATAAGAAACAACCACTGTAGTGCCAGGCTGGCTATACTGCCTCAGTTATTTTGTTAAATATCTTTGGAAAAAAAGTCATATGAATGTATATGGAGAGATATGGTCTAATGCTACACCCTTGGTACACTTCAGAAAACAACTGTTTTAGAATTGAACAAAGGTATTGTGCCAGTGACAACTCTCCCTCCACTGTGACTTTTAAGATCATAATATTATGTTTATTATATAACACATATAAATGTTAGATCTATTTATTCATATATATAATTATAAGGAACAATTAATTCTAGTTGAGAAACATTCATCACAGGATTAGCAAAGAAAAGGAGAATCATTTCAACTGTAAAATCCATGCATTTGATAAGGAATCGTGGCTACTCCAACACCAGTCACTGCAGTGCTATTGTACAACTAATTCCTAGTCCATATTTACCCTTTGGTGACTGTTCTAATGCTCCAGAACATTCCTGCCCTTGCAAGGATTTTCATTTTGTCCAATCTCCTCCACTGACAGCTGAACAAATACCACTGAATTTTTTTTAGGAAGAAATATATAATTTAAAAAGTTACATATAATTCATACCTTTTGGGAGTAGTTTTTTGCTTTTTCCATTTCCGACACAATACTAGTAATATCATCACTTTCAAAAATACCTGATAATCAAATAGACACTAATTAGGGTTTTTTAGAGTGTACAAAATATGTATTTTTGTAAATGTGCAACAATTTGTAGATATGTCAAATATCAGAGAAAAGAATCACAAAACCTCTGTTTCCTGCAACCCTGACTATCTGAACCTGTTGTGTTAGTAGTATATTATATATAATATATATACATTTTATATATACATTTATAATATTTTATATATAATAAATATAGTAATATATATATTACTATATTTTAAACGCTCATTTAAAAAAAAAAAACTAACAGAAAATGGTGAATTCAAATAGAAAATACCAAATTGCTGTGTTAAGGCTGCATTATTGAAATTCACTGCAATTGAAAGTCTCAATAAAACTACAACTTGAGTTTATATCTCAGTGCTAGTAGAGCATTGGTATAACCTAAAAAAAGCCAACTACCTGATCTGGGAGTAAAAAAAGCATTAATACATATTATTTAATTAATGAAAAAGAAGTATGTGCTGACCTCCCTGCTCACATACCTGCTTCTCCAAACCAGTGGAATCTGCCCCTGGCTGCCTGCACTATTTCTCTAAAAGCACTGGCAGTTTCTGCAGGGCTGGCATAGCGGGCTGGGATAACCCCACTGGAGCCAATGTCCTCCATGGCACTGAACAGACAGACATGAAGCTGTAAATCAAAACCTCTGCAAACCTCAGCCACATAAGCACTGATGGTGTGCTGTAAGACAGAGAAAAAAACCCATCAGTAGTGACCCTCTACCTCAGACAAGCTTCTGTCTACTCCACTGGTTCCTGACACTTATAAATGATATACAAATCCTCCCAATCTGATGATTTCTTAGGTTTGCACAGAATTTCCAGAGAAGAGACACCTCACTGTATACTCATGGTGAGGAACTCTGGGCTGTGCACATGGTTTAACAGCCCTGGAGCCCCTGTACCATGAACATGTATCCAAGCAAGGGATTACTGTGGTTAAAAACAGGAGCTGTCTCTACACAGGGTACTATAGAGTTTCACTGGACAATTATTTGTGTCTTTGTTCCCCTCAGTTATGAGGAAATGGTACCATACAAAAAAATCAGAGTTGTTCATACTCAGGAATGTCCAGTGAAATGATGGCCAGAGCTGGAGGGGGAGGGAATCCTAAGAGCAAGTTCTGAATTTTCCATGAATGGCACATTATTAATAACTGCTGCCTCCAACACATGAACAGCAATTGCAGAGATGGAAGTTTGGGCTGCCTTAGGGATGTAAAGGAGGAGTATTCTGCCAATGAACTGTGATGACTAGCAAAAGGAAAAGAAAAAAAGGGGAAAAAAGAGAGAAAACCAGAGTTGAGACAATTCTGATAGGAACTTACAGAAGAGTTGCCTATGATGATACTTACTGTTTCCTGATCAGGTATTCCAGTAGTCAGCAGGTAAAGTCCTTGTGATTTGTGTTTCTCTTTGTCTTTGAAGTCGACTTCTACAGCTCTCCTGAGTGCACTCATGAAATTTCTACTGCCCTTGCACTGCAGGCTCAACACCCATCTAAAAAAAGATGTTTACAGTTCAAAGAATGAAGAAACAAAAGCTTTTGTTTCTCCTTAAAGCAATAAAGAGAGCTAAGAATCTGAAATAACACTGCACTGGAGTCTAAAATTTTTGAGAATGACAGAGTGCAAAACCAAATTATATATTGGCCCAAATTATTTGTTCTAGTTTATGTACTGCCACCATAGAAAACCAGTTTTTAAGGTGAGATACAGAGCATAAAAAGGAAACAATTATCTCTTAATTTTATATGGAAAAATGTTAGCATACTAGAACTTGTAGAAATAAAAATGAAACCTGATATACAATGAAAACACTGTGGGTGTGACTCCACAAAAAGAAACCTGGGATTTATTTCCAAAGTATATGGGGAAAAAACACAGTTCAGGTTTCACATTTCAGTTGTATTTGAAGCAGTCTTCAACTCCTAATGTAACCTGTGCATTTCTTACACAGACATTTCTGTATCTGTGTACATATATATTGTGTATATATATGAAATACAAAGTCATTAAGACATATTAAACTTTATAATGGTGTCTTTACAACAACCCATCATGAACAATCAGTGCAGAACATGGCAACCTATTTTTGTAATATGATAAATGTATAAATATTTTTAATTGTTCACATTGCTCTTTGTTCCATCTGTTTCACAAGACTTGTGATCACTGAACTCACACACATGGGATAATTATTTGATCCTACCTCCAAGCCTTTTCTAAGTTTTCTGGATGGGAAGGAAGCAGTTCCTGCTGCCAAGGCACAATGTCACTCCCAAATCTTACATGGAAAGATAACAGCAATTAATTTGCAGATTATGGTTTAGAACAAGCAAAAAGAAAGAATAAATTCACTGCAAAAGAAAAATCTCATTTGGGGTATTAATACTGCTATGAACAGTATAGCAGGATGAGTATTGGATTGCAGGGATGATGCAATCAGTTCCAGTGAGCCACACCCAAACCAGTGATTTTTAATTACTAATCTGATCTCTGTTCATCTGATCCATGCACTCACCCAATAAAGACAAACCATTGCTAGTTTTGCAATTACTTCACTAAAAAACATTAAATACAATTAAAAATCTAAAATATGTCCATTAGTAACTACAGTCTCTGAGCAGACCTGTTTCATGGCAATGCATTACAATTATTTTAAAAGAATCTTCAACAGTTGCTCACGCTATGATATTGAAGTAATCCTTATTTGACATTTGTTCCTCAAGTAAAAGTCGCAGAGAATGTTGGATACGGGTGATGTACATAGAGTTTGTCACTGATATATCAACAAGTATAACCACCCTGGATAAGAAAAGAAAAAAATCTTATTTCATTATGTATTTTTATCTTCACTGCACTCCAACTTGCCAGGGGAAAAGTATCTTCTACCTGTGTATCAAAATGTATAAACACTGAATTTAATTCTGCAAAACATAAGGTGAGATTTTAGAAAAAAAGAGCAACTGTGCAACTGAGATTGGGTAAGGCCTCAGACACACTGTAAATAAGCACTATCCTCAAACACAGAACTAGATGAAGACTTCAAATCTCACAAAAAAGGGCTGTCAAATACAATACCTCTTTTCACAAACACTCCCCCATATTCTTCTGCTAGTAATGGAGAGCCAGTCAATTCGTTTCTCATAGATATTTACCATTTTAGTAAGGCGTTTCTATGGATAAAATACAGAAAATTTATGTTAAAAATAAAAAGTTCGAGTCTTTTATCATCAAATGATGAACACAGAAGTAACATGACAGCATAGTAATGAAAAAAAAAAAGATTTTTGTTCATTTTGACAGCAACATTTCATTCTTAGTAACGATAAGAGAATACAGTCCATGAGAAAAACATACAGTGATAAAAAAGCAACAAAGAGTCTAAAGGTCTAAACTCTCCTCTTCACTTTTCCTCTTGCTAGCACGTCCCAAAATAGTGGTCAGGCATATTACCAAAAGAAAAAAAGAAGCTTAAAAAATACAGCTTTTGCAAGTTTACCATTTCTTCAATAGCATTTTTAGGCAGTGTACATAACAAAACACATCATTTAAAATAAACACAGTATTTTCAAACGTATCATTCTTTAACACAGTGTCAAATTAAAGACATTAAGGTAATTTGTCTAAACTCTACAGAAAATGACCTTTGCAAGTATATGCAGGCATTATATGAGGGCATATCAAGATAGAAAAGGACACTTAATGTGGAATAATTAGATGGTAATCCAGCCCTGAGATAGACAACTCACCTGGTAGTTGTATAATACTGGCAGGTCAACATGGATATTTTTCACAGTTCCATCATGCCATTCAAACTGCATCATGATTTTCTAGAAGGAAAAATAATAATCATTCTTAAGAATGGCAGTAGTATTTGATCTGAATCTATGGTTCAAATTTCTTTTAAAGCCTGTAGAATTTCACTAACTTACAAAGCACTGATTTTAACTAGAAATACGTAGCAATAGAAAGAAACAAACACAGGAAAAAAACGTTCCTCATCACTTACCTCATGCAGAGTTGATGATATTCTTTTTTTAAGAATAGGTATAAACTCCACCACAGGAGAGAAAGCATTGGGAGCCAGAACTTGATAAAGGTTTAACTTCTTGGCTATAGGAAGAAATAAATACTTTATACAGAACACACATTCAGATTCATATTTCATATTTGTTAAGTTTTTCCTTCTGTGCTACCTTTCAATCCATATGTCTTTAACCAGTCTGTTGAGGTTTTGGCCAGGACACTTGGTGTTTGAATAACTAATGGTCCTTTGAGCTTTGGAGGCTTTGGGAAGAAGCTGGAAGGTGCTGTATTTGCAAATCCTGCAGAAACCTGAAATGGATTTTAAGAAAAGCTCGTGCAAGTTTCAGCATCGTTTTTTTTATGCTCAGTCTGAAGTATCCAGTATGGTGGACATAATTAAAACTAAAGTGCTGTGATTACAACAAGCAAAAAACACTTTGAAAATGCCTGATTATTTATAAAATTTTTTTTCATATTGTGAACCTAAACATTTCTGACCTTGGTTATTCAACATATATCTGAAAATGAAAGGATACATCTGCTGTTTTACTACTAACTGAGCCACCAAGTCTTCTTTGAAAAGTCTGTTTGATGCTTTTGAGTAGGTCCTTGGCCTTCAGGAACTCCTGAAGAAGCAAATGAAAATCACTGCTATCAAAATACTGCAAATATAAAAACAAATGGGGAAAAATAAGTTAACTACTATTCAAACACCAACCCACAGCAGCTTTCTTATTTTAAAGTGCACACATCAATACAAGACTGCCTGGCATAGCAGAATTGAGTGTAAATGTATTTAATGCACTGTATATAAATTAGTAATAATTTATAAACAAGATATTATTTTATTATTTTGAATCATGCTACAATAAACCACTGCTTTCATCAGCTGTAAGTCAGTAAACAGTATCTGCAGAATTTATTGTGCTTTTAGGAACATTTTCAGTTGCAGAAAGAATTAACCACAGGTTTATTGACCACTTCCTCAGCACTTCTGTGACAGAGACTTTCAGTACCAAGCCTTGCTAGCAACTTCTACTCAGATCATAATTGTTCCACTGCCTCAAAGGGAAGAATCATCAAAAAGAGAGAAAAATGCTTTGCCTCTCTAACTGTCACCCACCTCTCCCTTTGAAGAGTAGCAATGATAACGGCCTTCTACAGCTTCTGCAAGATTCTTCAGAACTGCCTACACAATATAAACAGGAAGAAAAAGAGTTACTTTGATTTGCTAGTCTCTTTTGGGTTGTTGGTATTCAATTCTCAAGTAGAGATAGAAGAAGAATCTTTGAGGCACATGTAGTGAGAAAGCCAAAGTAATTATGTTTCCATCATTTGCTTACCAGTCTTATTTTAATAAGGCTGAAAAACTAACTCAGTAAAGTTACAAAGATGATGCTCCAAACAGATTTTTTCATGTGTGCAAATCTGTTCTAAAGAAAATACAACACTAAATCAAGAACTCTCTAATGACTAGGTCAGCTCCCCCACAAGTTTATGAGAGAAGGCATTACAGCTGAATAGGAAAAAAAAGACAGGACACTTAAGGAAGTTAATTATTAACACAATTACTTACAAGAGAAGCAGGATTGCTGCAATCATATGTAACAGTGTGAATCTGCAGTTTCCTCCCCAGCAAACACTGCTGAGCATAATCACACAATATTTCAAAAGGCTGATCAGGGCTGATACAAAAAGTAAAGAAAAAGAGATATTAACAATGGCAGTAATTAAATGGGAAAAAAAAAGGCCATATTGAAGAAGGCAGAGAAGAAAAAACAGTGGGAAAGAAATAATAAATCATGGGAATGATTTATGCATTTAGCACAACCTGACCTCCTCTCCCTTTTTCAACCATTACTGAGGTACCACTACTAGGGTTTAATTCTGTCCTGAAAACCTGAATGATAACAAAAGCACTAAGATTCTATTCCAATTCACGACAGCTTGTGGATTAAATGATCTAAATTATTCCCTGCTGGTCCTGGCAGATAAAAATTAGGAATTGTGCCTTTGGCCCCTGTGACAAACAATGACAGAAAACCTTTCAACACTGTCTTCCAAAGGCCCAAACGAAAGGAAAACTTTGCTTTGTGCTTTAGAACTTAACTTACAGTTAATAAACTAGGAGTAGGGTAACACTCCTAGAATCCCTACTGTAGTCTTTTCCTTGTAATCCCAACTGCAATATTGCAATTTTCAAATTATGACAATAGAACTGCAGAATTTATGTCCATAATTTATATAATCTCAGCCTGGTTTCATTTATTTAATCAGAAATTTTAAGTTTTCCATTAGCACAACTAAGATCACAGAGAGAAGACAATCCTTCAACATTTAATGCTATTTTACAGCAAAATCTAGCTTATCCTCTAATCTTCACAGAGGCATGGACCCTTTCAGTGACATCCTTAACGATGCTGAAGGCTTTTACTGATGTAAAATTAGAGCTAGCAGACTCTCAATAGATTACTGTGATAATTGATCTGCAAAGGAAAAATGTAGCTTCATATCAGAAAAGAGAAGATTTATAAATAGTAAAAAAGGGAACAAATAAAGGAATTCAATGGTATGAACTAAAAACATATAAGACCTGGATCTTAAATTTTCTATTTATTTTTGTATCCAGTCTGGTTTCTTGTACCAATTCTGTATCCAAGCTAAAGCTGGTTGTTAAGAGAGAGAATGAATTTACCAGCTTCCTACAATAAGAACCAGGGAATTCAGTTCTTTCATTGTAAGGACATGCTTAAAGGCTTTCAGCAAATTGCAGCCTTGACCAGGCTCCAGCTCTTGTATCCACTGTCTCGCTTCATGTAGCCTAGGAGGGGGGAAAAAAGAGAAAGAATATGTACAGGTGCTAAAGAAGAAGATCATGAAAATTACTACAAACCACAGGAGCTGCTCAGATACTTTAAACGTGAACAACCAGCTGGAAATCACTGACTGCATGTTGAACTCATTGCTTTTTCTCCCCTCTTAAAATCACTACAGGCACAAGATGAAAAGCACTATTGCCTACAAGAGATTGTTCTAATTAAATGGAGGCCTTGTTTGAAACACCTTTATTTTTCGGAGAAATGAACTTACTTACACGTGAACGTTGATGTTTTTTGGACTCTCCCACAGCGGTGAAATTTCTGCACTGAATGAGAGGCAGTACAATTGCTCCTTGTAACAAAGCTGCTCATCTATTAAGCACTAATGAACAAAAAATTGAAAATGCATTACTACCCAGTAGTAGGGTTATTATGTAAAAGATTAAGAATAGTAATTTCCCAAAAATTGGTTGACAGCAGTATTTCCAGCTACCACTGAGAAAAGCTTTCAAGAAAAACTCATACATATTCAAATATTTGAGAAGTACAGAGACAATACCTGCAAATCTATGGTATTCCAACTGATTTGTTAATGGGGCAGGAGTCAAGGAATATTTGTTGTACTGGTATCAGTTTTTCTGTAAAGCTGATGAGCACATGAAACAACCCTGATCTAGAATGCACATATCCACCAACCGAGCAAGTACTAAAAATGGTTAGTACATGTTCATGTATGGGGCTAAACAATAGTTCAAATATTAAAGAAACTGAGTTTTCTTGAAGGAGTTTTATCTGAAACATACAAATAAAAGATGCAGATAATATAAATTGATGTTAAATAATTCAAGAATGTGGGAAATTAAACCATACCAAATGTCAAATTTAGACAGTAAACCAGCTACATTATATCTTCCTTCCTTACTACAAAAGTTTTCTAAAAATAAAGAGCATAATAAAGGACAATTTTCTTCCAAGAATTCAGAAACTGATTAATTCACCAAGGTTCTGACCAAGATTGTGAAATGTGCCTTGTGACAAAACGTAAAGGCATAAGAAAACCATACTTATTATAAACAGCTCTATGTACAACTGGGTTCTACCTCTAACTGTTTCTGTTAGGCAAGTTTATCCCATTGAGAACATTGACAGAATTGAGAAAATCTAATAATACTACTTCAATAATGTTAGAATTGGCAGAACTTACTTTATTATTACTTACCAAAAGGTCCTTCTGAAAATCCAGTAGTCTAGGTCCATAACTCATGTGAGACACATCAATCAAAAGTCCCACTTTGGTTCCTTTTATAACACCAAACACCTTACAAGAGACAAGTAATTGTAAATACTATCTTATCTCAATTTTAATAATTTTACGGTTTATTCTGTACAACACCATTTTTAAATCATGTACTGGATATTTATTTTCATTTTAAACCTTTTAGACTAAAGATGACACAGTGACAAAGTTAAGGAGGGAAAAAAGAAGGAAAAAAGGGATAAAAAAGAAGAAGAAAAAGAAACAAAAGAGTTAACTGGGTCCCAGCTAATCCTTACCAGTGAATCATATTACCTCCTTCCCAAGACAACCTATTCATTGTTTGAGAGGATAAATCAAACATAACATTGTCTGTAGCATCTCCTTCAGGCCAAATCAAGCAACTTTGTGGAAACCAGATTTTGGAATGCTGCTTCCTTCTCTCTCCCCTTTGAGAGGGAGTTACATCCTGAGCATTAGCACTGCTGGGCAAAGTTAGTGCATAACCAGCTGGGCAAGAGGGGGCACAAGGGACTACGAGACAGTTCCACTCCAGTCAGAGGATGCTCAGCACTGTCTGCTCCCATTTAAGTTGTGCTGGGAGGTCCTGATGATTAAAACTGCTAAGAGAAAGAAAAATACTAGATCTGGAAAGCAGAAAACTGCATACCAATGAAAGATCAAAAAAACCAATCCACTGTCAAGATCGCTGCACATGATGTGGAACTCACAGTAAAAAATGAAAATGCATAAGCTTTCTGCAAGTCACTTCTCACTAGTATTCAAAAGTTAATTTATTCTTTAATTTCATACACAGTTCCACTCTAAAAACATATTACAAAGTTAAAGTTACCTTTCTGCTGTCCTCCAAGAGCCACTGAATTCTCTGCTGATAAAGTTCAATTGCTCTGACAAAAGGCATAGCACACACTTAGCTAAGGCATTCCCCGGCACTGTGCTTCAGTGTAACAATCAACAATCAACCACCTCTTTTCATCACATCCTTTCTCTCACAGATGCAAAATCTTTGAGAAACAGGTGTTTAAAAGTACTGTTTTCAGTGGTCTTACACAACTGGTGCTTGCAGGGTTAACCATTTAAATTCCCCTTCCCCTAAAGCTGTTTGACTGATCAGATATGTAGGTGTTTGAAAAGCTGGATCACCAAAATGTTTTCTAACGAGTTGCCGGTTTATTCTGTTCAGAAACAGGAGAGGGATACTCACCACCTCTATATGTGAACAACAGCAGCTCAGGCACTACTGAGTTTAGATCATCACACACAGTTTATTGTCAGGAGATGTATTTAATATAAACTACACTATTGCTTAAGACACTTATGAAATATAACATTGTGACTGAAAGGCAGCACGTTCATTGTTGTGCCAGACTAACTACAGCACAACCTTCAACAACTTAATGCCAAAATAGGTATAACCTGAGGTAAAACAAAATGCTTGCTGGCCTCTAAGACTGTTTTACTTTAACCTACTTCTTTTTAAAACCACGCACAGGATTTTTACATTTTGGTGAACAAAAAGTTTAAACAAATATTTGAAAGAGAAAAGCTGCTTCTTTTTTATAAAAGCCAGACACAGTGAGGTATGCTGAAGTGGCAGCACTCCTAGGAATTGTGAAGACCAGTAAAAACATTATAGTTACTCTACAGCTTATTGAACCTATTAATTAAATGATTTCCTTAGTTTAAGTTTCCTTGATTTTATACATTTAAAATCCACTTAGAAAACTTTTAACTTCTACGTGTCATGACTAGATCCATGACTTGAAACTAACCCAGTAAAAGTAACCCACAAATACACAGTGTTACCTGTGAAAACCTGACCATTTAATAGCTGCCTTTCTAAAATGAGCTGCTTCACATCAACACCTGGTTAATAGGCATCTTCAATAAAAAGAACCCCAAGCTTCAGCTGTAGTGTCACACAATTATCACCTACCCTAAACCTCAGCAGAAAGGATTTAATGCTGAGGTACTCTCAAGTTCCCACAGACAACAAATTAAGACTTAGGGCAGGACTTGCAGTCCTGGGGAGTGGGGATATAGAATCAGTTACAGATCAAAACTGTAAACAAGACTGATACTTACTCAGAAAGTCTGGACTCAAAATCAGTAACAGTCTCCTCTGTAAACACCATCCCTTCAACACCATCTCCTGAATTCCTGGAACACTGTGCATAATTAACATCAGAGGTGCACACAAATTAGGACTGAGTGCAGCAAGGGTAGTGTTGTACTTACGAAATAATATTGCCCCTGTTTACCAGATACTCTAATGTTAATTGCAAGGATTCTAAACTGTAGTTTCTTATCCATTCTTCTGTGGTTTGCATCATTTGAGACTGTATTGTCTTCATTTGTCCTCTCTATGGATCAAATAAGAAAAAATCACACACAGTATGAGGAATTAAACGTGCTGTTCAAATGTGACAAAAACGTATGTCCTAAGGACAGTTACTGGTAGGCAGTGCATGTCCAAGAACAACATAATTTTAGCTACTGGAATACTCTGTTGGATGTAAAGGAAAAGAAGCTTTCAGAATACCCCCAGATTGTGAGATAAAGGAAGGGGAAGGAGAACTGAGTTTGGAGAAGACAGGAAGGAAGACAAGAAATAGGAGAGTTCAGTAAAAGAATTAAAATAAATACCTCAGTGATTTACCAGAGAGGAAAACAAAATAAGCATCTCCAAAAAGTGACTCAGAGTTTGAAGGGACATATAGCCTTCTGCTTTTTTGAAGAAAAATGCAGGGTCTACAGCTGATCTACATTTATTGTTTTGCCTGATTTGTTCACAGACTGATTTATCTCTGCAGAACAACTACATGTAGTTGCATCACTTCAGTGATTATATCTATCAAATTGTCTGTGTATATGCAAATATATGTAAGGAAACATATTAGTTGTCTATCAGCTTATTTATTTCTCACTCTGTATTTATAGTGGGTATGTGTCACTGTTCTAGTTGCTCCATTTAGCAGGAAAACTCGCCTACCAGCAGATCTTGTGTCTTGTTGGTATGTGTTCCCAATAATCCATTATCTGGTCCTAGATGAGACACAGTAAAATCTTGCCATGGTAGAGGATCACCCTGTGCATGGGATTTTGTGGCCACCCTACAAGACAATTAATTTTATGGGATTACTTCATTACCCATAATGTTCCCGTATTGTAGTAAAGTCATTTAATTTTTTTTCTGTAGAAACTGTTTTATACTTTGCCAGTTGTTTAAACATTCATTTAATATATGATAAATGTTTTGAAGGGACATAGTACATAGTTTATATGAGCTAGAATTTATTTTATATCTATGTATGAAGCTCCAACAAGCTTCTGTAACAACTTCCTTACCCATTTTTCTCCAAAAACTGATCATTGTCCAACAACCATGCCGTTTTCCTGATGTGTGTATCCATTATATGAATAGACTTAGCCTTGTTAAAAGCAAAAAGACAAAAAGCAAAAATGTTTAAATCCTCAGGAATAAACACTACTTAAAAAGGTATTGTTGATATTGTCAGCAACTTAAATGATAATTTATACTGCATGTGGGACAACAGCAAACTTAAAAAAACAACAACAAACAAACAAAGAGAAGTTAAAATTATCCATTTACAGAAAACGGATTTAGGAACTATTCTGCAGGAGCTGCTTGTTAAGGGATTTTATGCAGTTAAATGTAACTGTGCACAGCTGCCGGGAGACCCGCTTCACAGCCAGAAAGGAGATTAACCACAGCAAAACGCAGAGCTGCCCCTCGGGCTTAGGCGCGGTAAGAACTGAGCAAAAACCATCATAAAATGCCGGGTTTCGCTCCGCTGAGCTCCACCGTCCTGGGCCACCCGGGCCCTGCCGCTCCCAGCGGAGTCAGCACACCCTTCCCGTCCCCCCGACCCTCCTCCCCCCACGGGGGAAAAGACCCCTGGGCTCCCCCGCACGGTCCCCCGGGACTCACCTCCCCCGGCGGGGGAAGAACCCCTCGGCTGCCCCGCACCGCCCTGCAGAACTCACCTCCCCCGTTCCCTGCCCACCCTCCCTGGGCACGCCCCGGAATCCCGGGCGGGCACCGCGCCAGCGACAGGGATCCCCCGCCAAGCCCCCTCAGCACCTCCCGGTGCTCCCCCGACCTTTCCCCCGTGCGGGGGTCCGGGGGCGGAGGAGCCCAGCGCGGCCCCCGCCCGGCTCGGAGCGGCGGCTCCGCCGTGTTACGGCGTTGCCGCTGGAGACGGAGCGGCCCCGGCGCGCCGCTTCCCGCCCCTGGGGGCGGTGTGGGCGGGGAGCGCGGGCCCCGGCGGGCGTGAGGGGACACCTGAGGGGACAGTTGCAGGGATTGCTGTGGGTACACTTGATGGAGGACACCTGAGGGGGGACATCTGAGAGGATACCCTGAGGGAGGACACCTGAGGGCACAGTTGCAGGGCTTGCTGTGGGGACACCTGAATGCAGGGCAGGGCCGGTTCCAGTCAGCGCAGCCGGGGCCAGTCGCTTTAGTAGACAATTTATTTTGATAAACTTGCTCAATAACAAAAATACAAGTGAAGAAAATTATGTTCATTTTATACAGTTTGTATTAACATTTGTTCGGAAATCATTAATTGAAAAAATGCTCTAAACCAATTAGAAAACAACCCTCAGTAAAGGCCGGGGGCGCAGGCAGCGGGTCCGGCCTCGAGCGGGAGCAACGTGCGCCCAGGCAGGACAGCCCGCCTGCAGACACCATTTCCTTCATTATGTTCATCCTTCACAAAGGTTTTAAAGGACAGCTTCCATTTTCCTGTGTGTGTGTGTCAGGGCGAACAGTAACCTACAGTTGTGTTCTGGAGTGGTTCAACAACGGCTCAGAAACACAGGGATGGCAGGAGAGCCCGAATCTGGCGGTGCCACCTCGGCCAGGGGACAGGGTGGTGTGGCTCACTCCCAGTGTCTGCGGGACACCGGTATCGCTCTCCAGCAAGAGTAACAACAGAAAACCACGTTAAATGGTCAGACTGGTGTGCCCAGGGAAGCACACCCTCCCCAGGTCCGAGACAAAGAGCTTCCGGGCAATTATTTCAGCTGAGCTCAACAATGAGATTTACACGGACAAATTAACTAGTTTCCCTTCTGAAAGTATTTCAAGTTTCCAATCTTACATATTGTTAGCCAAATAAATGACAGGTGTGCACAAATTACATCATGATGGCACATCAAACCTCTGGGGGAATGTCGAAGCAAAAGACTAAATGAGACTCTCTAGTGACATATGAAATGAGCTGTCCTTCAAAAAGTTAAAAATAATGGCTGGCAGAATCAGAAAAGTTTATGTAAACACTCAACACAAATATGGGATTACCTTTGGAGAAGATTCATATGGAACCATTTGCTTTTCATGAACTGAAAAAGTCTACAGATGTTTAGGCATGTTCAATACGAACTTCCTGTAGTTTAAAACAAAACCTTGTGCAAATAAAACCTATAAATAGTCTTCAGCAGATTTTACAGTGATGCTCTTAGGTATGAAAAGAATGCACACAACTTTTAAAAAAAAAGTAACGGACATAAGTTTGACAAATGATTGCACCATAAAACAGTGTTTTATATACAGTTTACAAGATTTGATTTTCTTCTATAAATACTGTACTATATAGTACTTAGTGACCTTATTAAAAGCAACTGTTGACAGCTGTCTCTTCAATTATTGGGTTGGGCTTTTTTTAAATGCAAATGGCTGCATCTATTTTTGGACTTAAAATGCTCAAATATTTAATAAATCTATTTGTTAAATCTCTGTTATCATTTAATAATTCATAGCAATAGCATTGGCAGATCAGATAAATTTCCAGTCAGCCAACCACAGTCTGGGTATGCTCCAAGATAAGTGTTTGGTTTTTTTATTTTTATTAAATGATGATCCATTTAATCAAAGCCTAAATCCATATGATGTTACTATAACTGAAATAAATAAGTTGGGGGGAGCAGGGAAGGGGAAGAAATCTTAGCAGCTGAGAAACCCTCCCCACCCCCCACCTGTGTTCCAGTTACAAAGATCTAGAACTATTTACAAGTGTGACATTTCTGAAAAAAATAAGAGCCTTTTTTTTCAATATAATTTATAATCTAAGTTTTAGTGAATACTTTAGCTTAGGACACAGTAGTGATAACACCAAAATTTTGACACATATCAAGCAGCTGAACCCTGCCTTTTATCTCCACCAACATCACTAGGGACCTCAGACTTAAATTAGGAACCAAATCATATTTAAACCACTACTTCAAAGTAGGTGCCTGGCTGTATTTACAGATTAGTATACTTTAGAAAAATTTAGTTATCCATAAACACTCCATTTTACCTGTGAATGAGCTGACTGGAAAAGAAAAAGTTGCTTATGAACCATTCCAGTGACAAGTTTGTTCAAAAATTTCAAAAGAAAAAAGAATTAAATCAGCAAATAGTATTTTTGTATTAAAATACCTTGGGAGGGGGAGAGGGAAGAGGTGAGAAGGACAGGGACCCACTAGGGTCTGAATGGCACACAGTTTAAAATAATTGTGCAAATTTTGTTATTTTCCAACACTTCAGCTTATCTGATCAGTGATTAATTTGGGAACTGCTGATTATATTTCAATAACCACCTCATTCTAAAATACACTTTCCCTAACAGTTTAGGAAAGTGTCTATTCAGAAATGCAGTTCCCCCAGTAAATGAAATGAAACAGCGCTCAAAACGGATTGTTGTTTTTGTTTTCATAAAGAATCCCAGGTAAAACATGGATTAACTGGAAAACAAATATTGATAGTGCAGGCAGCTTCCCTGGAACACCAAACTACTTTCTGCAAGGTTAGACCAAGTAGTGAATTAAGACGTCTGTGGGTTCAATGGTTTATCCATGTGCTGAAAAGTAAAACTACTTTTAGTGAGGAATATTTACTCCAAATTTGGGTGGTCATTAAATCCACATTTAAAGTAACAACTTTAGTAAACAAGGCATATATTTTTCAATACTTATATTGCTCATTTTTTTGGCAAAGATGAATTAATACTCAAGTGAAAATAAGTTCATCCATCTTTGCAGTGGAATAGTATTTGCATTACTTTAAACATTGCATTTGACATGTGCTAGAGAAATGCTTACCTATGGTAAAATGCTGTGCTTGAACACGTATGAATGCTAATGTAACAATGCAGTAGAAAAAGAGATTTTCTGTACAACAGTTGCTAATAATTTAAATAGTGTCAGTTTCCCAAAATTAGGATTTTAACTTTACGGCATGACATGATCTCACCTTCTACCCTCATATACAAATAAATTACCATAAAAAGAATTTTAGCTTAACTTAAAATTGCACCTAGAAAGGCATGGGATCGTTTGTACCTATTACAAAAAACTGTTAAAATCAAGGGCTGCTACAAAGAATGAGGTAAACTGAAGACTCTCAGCTATGTGGCCTTCAGAGAAATGGCTTTTTTCTATTGAGTTCTAGTTTTGCACACCACAGTGTTTTGCTAGCAAAGCGTTCTGAGTTCTTTTCCAGGAACCATTTGTGTGTATATACATATATATACATATGTGTATATACACACACACACACATACACACACACTGTATACTGCATCAGCAAAATATATATATATATTTATATATATATTTATATAAATATAAGGAAGAAATCCCCCTTTAAAACGTTCCTTAGTGTTTCCTAGAGCTTATGGGGGAGGAGGGGATGTATGTCTTCTTGCTGTTACATACATTTAGAGAACATGTTTTGATCTATTGGCTTCTTGGTGCAGTAATGCAAGATTGATCCACATTGGTGCCAAAGGCTTTGCTCATCAGAAGGAAGATGTAAAACACTAATCTCCTAAACAGCGAGGCCAGCCTCACTTGAATTCCTCTGCAACCCTCTGGTCTACCACAGAGTTCATAAATACTTTGACTTCCAAATTGTTAGACGTTAAAAACAGGAACAGTCCAGTAACATGGGGCATTTATGCTTTTCAGTGTAAAGCATTCTTCACTAGTTCCTATCACAGTGCAGACCTGACTGCATTAGAGTATGCTCAGGAGATTAGTCCACGTTGTCTGTATTTGGTTATGGGAAAGGCTCTCCTTTTTTTCATCCAAAGTGCATAGTGAGAACAAGTCAAAGCATTCCTCTTTTCAGTCAGTGTTTGATAGTCTGATTTAGGCATCCTCCTGAGAATGCAATTCTGATGTCTTGTTCTTTTCCAAAATAAAGTCCTGCAGTTCAGACATTCATCAGCCAGGTAAACAAACTTTGCCAGCAAATAGAAGTCCCACTATTGTAAAGAAAATTGATAAGACAAACAGTACATACGAAGACCCAACCACTGTGTTATTGGGTAATTTATATGGTTGACCTCCAACTTCATTGATGTAAAATCCTATTGGAAATATTAGGGCTGCCATACAGAATAGAATCACTGCAAAGGAAAAAGAAAAATAAACAGTCACTGCTGTGTTAAAGTGAAAATATTTACCCATTCACAGAGCACCCAGAAAAGCAAGCAGAGTATTCTGAGCGAACTCAAGAGCTGAGATATGCCGGTACATAAATTGCTTGAAATGAGTAGGCTTTATCTTGCTTTTAAAACTACCCCCAAGGAAGACTAAAAGACTCCAGTTTTGACTGTAATTTCTGTAGTTAGGCCTGCTCACTAGATCATGACCTGTCTTAACAGAATAAAAAATTGGTAGATGTACTTCTACCACCATCTCCAAGTTTAGTCATAGAGTTCTTTACTTCTCCAGGTATTTTACAGTAATTTTTGCCCGGTTAAGATAGGACTTGGGCACAAACGAAAAAGGATGGTTTCATAAACCACGATCCACATCAGAACCTCACCTACTCCCTGATTTCCAAAACACCTAAAAAGCAGCTTTCACAACACATCGAGCCAAAGGCAGCCAGCACCAGGATCAGCCTTTCCTTCGGCTGACAGTACCGAGCAGGAAAAACCAGATGTTCCACTGGAGGGGGCTCGTGTCTCGCTCACAATGTGCTCGCACCGGCGGGTTATTCTTCCAAGGGGAAGAGACGGAGCATAAACAGCAAACATCTGGTAACTGCACAGTTACCACGTTGTTGCTCAGTGCCACCTCGTTAGGCCACTGAAACAGAACCAAGGGCCCAGCAAGCAGGCGTTAAACATTAATCCAGAAGGTTTTAATCTACGTGATTATTGGTCCATGTAATTCCACA